CGGGCCCCGAGCGGCTCCCAGCCAGCACTGGCATGGTGTGGCAGGTACAGCACCCTGGGCACGGTGTGGTGTGTGGCACCGGCACCGCTGCCAGCCCCGGGTGCTGCATGCCAGGCATTGCGCACGGGCAGCGGGCGCTAGGCACCGCTCAGCAGGCACCAGGCACCGCACATCATGTGCCATCACCGGCATTGCACACCGACACCGCGTATCACACCCCAGAACTTGCACACCCCGCAACAGCGCCAGGCTCACCTCTGGGCCTGCTTTTCAGGGCTGCCACCTGAGCCTTCCATCTCCTGCCTGTCATACCCTTGTCCCTGCCTTGTCCTCCTGTAGTGCAGGATGGTGGCCCAGGGAGCTGGGTCCAAGCTGTCCCAGGGTCTCTCTCAGCGCTTCCCCTGGGTGCTGCCAGCTGGGAGCCTGGATGGGGAGACCTTGATGTACCCAGTGAAGCAGGTAGCAACCCAAGTGGAGGGGGGTCTGATTTGTCATCGCGCCAGGGAGAGCATGGCACCAGCTCCTGCCTGACCTGGCACAGGCCAGGCTGTCCAGACCACAAGCAGGGCTCTGCTGTGTTGGTGTCTGAGGACATGGGTGCATGACCTGTCCCCTGTGGCTAGCATGGCACTGCCACCAGGTCCTGGGGCTGTGGTGCAAGGCACTGCTTTGCCCAGATGTCACTCCTGGGGCAGCGGGCACCATGCCTCTGGCTAGGACATCCCAGCACTGATCATTAACCACCCTTATCAAGCGGTGGGTTCAAGGTCCCGGACGGGGAGATTTTGTCCTCTGTTGTCCCTCTCGGTCCCACCTCATTGTGGGATGGGGAATGTCCCAGGCTGGTGCCTGATGTGCTCCCTGCCAGTGGGGCCGGGGCAGGCAGTGCAGGACCAGGGCACCCCCTGTGCCTGCCAGACACCCGTGAGGCACCCCCAGGCTGGGACAGCCAAGCGTGAGCTCCTGCCGCCATCTCATGGCTGCTCACAGCCACCTCTGCAGCTCGCCCTGCCCCAGCCGGGCCCGGAGCCGGGGCCAGTGGGATTGCCCAGGCCCCAGCCCTGCTCGAGGCAGGTTCCAGCCCGACACCCGGCCACCTTGCGGGTCTCCCTCCCGGTGGCGGGGGGACACCTCGGCCTCTCCCATCCAGCCCTGGCCACGTTTCCCCTTGCTGGGTGGTGGGACCCTGCCACCTCTTTTCAGTTTAAAACTGTTGCCCCTTGCAGAAACAATTAAAAATACAGGTTAAAAAAAGTCTCTTTCCATCTTTCTGATAAGTCCCTTTATATGTTGGAAGGCTGCAATAAGGTCTTCCCAGAGCCTTCTCTTCTTCAGGCTGAACAATCCCAACGCTCTCAGCCTTTCTCCATAGAAGATGTGTTGCAGCCCTCTGACTGTTTTTTGTGGCCTTCCTCTGGACCCACTTGAGCAGGTCTATATCTTTCTTGCCCTGAGGACCCCAGAACTGAACACACTACTCCAGGTGGGGTCTCATGAGAGTGGAGTGGAGAGGGAGAATCCCCTCCCTCTCCCTGCTGGCCACTCTTCTTGTTTCAGAGTCCCAACCAAGTATAATCAGCTTTCTGGGCTACAAGCACACATTGGTGGCTCAAGTCCAATTTTTTGTCCACCAGTATCCCCAAGTCCTTCTCCACAGGGCTGCTCTCCATCCCTCCATCCCTCCATCCCTCCCTCCCACAGCCTATACTGGTGCTGGAGCTGCCCCGACCCGGGTGCAAGACCTCCCACTCAAGTTTTACCATGGCAGCGGCTCCCCGGGGCCGGTCCTCGCTGCCCCCCCCCGGCCCGGCCGGGGCGGGAGGAGGCACC